AGTAGAGCAAAAAGTTGTTGGTCTTTTATCAAAGGAAAATCGTGTCATCAAATTGAATGTATGATGATTGTTTTCGAATGTACCGTTATTACAATTTAAAATTTTATTTTTAATAACGAGCGTTCAAATAAAAACGTGGTCAAGTTGGTTCTGAAAATTTGGACGTAGCGCGTAGCGTATAGCAAATGAACTTAAACGTCATCTGTCAAAGCGCTATATCGCCGCTATCAATTTGAATATTTTCGTTTTTAAAAAACGTTTAATATGGTGTTTTCTCAAGAACAAAAAGTGTTTATCATAGAGTCCTACTTTAGAAATGGACGCAAGATTGATGGAATATGGAAGTATTCTATGGAGGAATGTTTCATAGAATTTCAAAATCAATTTCCCNTTTTTTTTTTTTTTTTTTTTTTTTTTTTTTTTTTTTTTTTTTTTTTTTTTTCAGGGAGAAAATTGCAATAGGTTGTTCCTCAGGTGACTTGAAACAAATATATAAATTTTTTATATTTTTAAACCAACTCCAAAAATATGTTTTTTGGTCACGTTTTTTTAAAGTTAAATTTTGTTATTTTCTCGATAACCTGTATATTAGGGTGGGTCAAGAGACCTTTTTTGTAGAGCGTTCAATTTCCTACATGTATATGAGGAGAGATATTTTTAACGAATAGTTGATAGAGATATGAAATTTTTTTCTAATACCGAGGAAAAAATGGAAAACTGTAAAGCGGAGAACCTTCCTATTAAAACTAAAAGCTCATATTTGGAGAGAATTTCCTAGAGATGTCTAGCAACCTATTTTTTCGTCGATTTTTTTGACCCATCCTACTGTATATTGATATATTTTGTTTCATTTTCTCTTAATACATCTGTAAAAGCAGTTTAACAGAAAGGAAAAAACTGTTTCAGTGCTAATTTGTTTTATTTTCTTAACAATTGTAATGCTTGGAATATCAAAATCATTTAAAATGTAAGTAATCATGACTTGATTGTATTAAAACAAAATAAAAATTTGCAGTTAAAACACAAAAAACCAAGCACCCTTCTGTTCTGAACTTGACATAGGTACTCCTTAAAAATCGTCCAAGACTACGCTGAATTAATATTTTGCACTCAAACGTTGCACTTTACGTGTTCAATGGAAATACCCTGCTAAGAGACCTTAATTTCTGCATTTAGTTTCCCGACTTCCTAATTACACGTCCTTCAGCAGGCATCGCTGCAATCTTGACTGCCTGCTAATAAGATATCACGAAGTATTAATTTCACGTCTAGTCGGAAACCGGATTATTTTATTAACAAATAAAACTGCGGCTAATTCCCCTTGATAGCTGTTCAGGAATGCAAAGCTAATAGCCGGAACATAAAAAAGCCGCCAGTGGCGTGTAGTGTAAGGCTCACTTCGGAAGATAATTGACTCGAAAGTGAAGTGAAATTTCTTAGTTCCATGAAACGTGCTGTTTTAGTGAACGAAATAATAACAAGTCTTTGAAGGATATAGAAGGCTAAGTATGTTCGTTTGTTGACGTTTAAAAAGAATGATGTTTGAATCTCGATATACAGGGTGATTTAGTCATCAATTTTAAGAGCAGATAGAGAAAAATGAGTATAATACGATGGCGTGATTGAAAAAAAATCAAATGCATATTTAAGCTGCAAAAAAAATATTTTCAAATCATTATTTAACCCCCTTTTTTAATTTAAAATGCTATAAATTATGTTTTATAATTATGCAATCAACATATTAAATTGTTAATGTAGCCCAGCAAGAACCTCGAGGAGGTCTGAGCATGCCAAAAATCAGTTTTTATTAACATCATAGTGATAATTTTTTAATTTGCTGTAAGCCTTCTACAAAAAATTGAAAGTAACGCGGCCCATTCAGATGTTCAGGTAGAAAATGCGGCCCAATTAAACGATCGCCACATACTCCTGCCCATACACATTCACACCGAATTTCCTCTGAAAGCTAAACCGACGAGTAGTGTGCGGGTTTTCATCTGACCAAATGTGACTATTATGGCTGCAAATAAATTAGCTCTGTTTCACTTTAAATAAAATTTAATATTGAAGTTACAAAACTCCAAGAGTTCAAATAATTTAAATTTAATTTCATAACCATTTCAATTTTATTACAGAAATAATGACATAAAAAACCAACACTCACTAGATAAATTATAAAGAGAGGGTGAAATGTATGTAGTATTTAAATATTGACTGTAAGTAATAGAAGATAAAAAAACAATCGGACGGAGACAAATAAACAACTCGGTACGTGATTCCGACCTAGGCTAACCTGTCTCGAAGTCACTAACCTTCAAATTTGCAGGTGCACTATAGTCTAGGAGCCAGACAGGGTTCCGTTGCCAATCAGAGTGCCACGGGTGCAAACAATTTATTCTAAAGTATTTTGACCAAGGTAGGTACTTATTGTTTTTGAGAAAGCAATATTTATGTTTTGTACCTGTTTAAAATGCCAGCACGAGTAAAACAGCATTCATCCGTCAAGAGCACTTTATTAATAAAGTTAGGTTCTGCTGCATTTCGATTTAGGAACCAATTGCAAAATTCAAGACGATTGGGGAAATCAGCTGCTTCTAAAGCTTGAACTTTTTGAAAATGTGTGATGTTAACTAATTTGCGGGAAAAATGCGGGAGATATGGAGGGTGGTAGATTTGAATAAACGCTTGTAATTGTAATCGTGTGTAGCGTATTTTATATATTCGGGTATTTAGTGTGCCGACTTTTTTTATTTGATAAAATACGGTGTGCTTACAAACCTCTGCTTTATTTATTTTCTTTTAACGAAAGTTGACTTCGAGAAGTCAGGCTTGTTAACACATTTTGCACTAAGTTAATACAATTATTAAAATTATTTATAATAAAATGCAGCATGATCCTTTATTTACTTGCATTTTATTGGTTTCGTACATATGTATCCGTATACTAAAGCGGATTAAGTAAATGTGAACCACAGATTATGATGTGAACTTGGCAACGCTGTTCGCTTCAGCTGACGATTTGTTCGTGACATTACGTTACAAAATTTTCCGAGCATCCGGGCATCTGGCAGGGCCGCC